ATTGAAGATGTGTTCATTTATATTTTAAAATTTGTTTTTAATTTCCTCATGGTTTGATATCATTGTCGTTTGAATTAGTTGCAGCATAGCATACATTTCCTCCTGGAAAATATTTGTTTTTTCTTGATATGTTCTTTCTGCAGATCTCTCATGTTCCATGATAGCCAAAATCAAAGTTTTCCTTTCTCTGCAAACAGCTTTAGAGTCACAGTTTAATAAGTATTTATAATCCAGGAAGGTCAATTTTTTTTCTAAGGTTTATAGTTCTCGCCTTGTAGGTAGCCCAAAATGTTTTCTTTTCTTTGTTAGAGCTATTCTCTGTTTAGTTAAGACATTGAAGGTCACAAAAACTTATCTTTTTCTGGCTTTCTGCCAATTCCTGTATTATAGCAACTACAGTTGTATATTTTCATCCACCACTAGATGTCAGCACCAGTTCGTTTTTCAGTTTTCAAAACAAGCAATTTCTTCTGTTTTCATCAGTAATCTTTTGAAAAGAATATCTTAACAAATTCCACCAATTTCAAACTTATCCAGATTTAAGTTTTATATTCATTTCATTTCAATATATTTCTGTCTCCCATAAAAGTTTAATTCACTGCTTCCTTCTGTAGGAGGGTGGGGCAAGGATCCCCCTCCTTCTCACTTTCAGAGGATTTTTGCTTCTTGGGTTTTTTTTCCCCAGGAAATCAACAAGTAGAAGAGAGAGAATCAATATTCTTACCCAGTTCCAAACACATTGTTTACGATCAAGCTTAAATTAGTGCTTTTTGGCTTCGGCTGCTTGTAGCTTGGGCTAGACTCTGGAGTGAAGCTAGCCTTTCTTCTGCTGGTTTCTGGAGGGCTTTCCCCGAACGACTGGATTGACCATCTCTCTGCGGTCAGTGGGACTCCCCTCCTTCTTTGTCGCCTTTCCATGGCAACTTTAGGCCCATTTAGGGTCCCCTAACAGGAAAAAAATTGGCTGTAGAGTGCAGAGCCCCACGATCCCTCAGCTGCTATACTATTGCGCAAAACCGGAAGCCTCCAGGCCTTTGCACTCTTTTAGCAATTTATCTTCCCTTACTATCATCTTCTATCTTTAAGGAGGGGTTTTGTCTATAGACACATACATGCAAACAAATGTATGGTTAACGGGGAAATGGGGGAGAGATACTGCTAAGTTATTTTCGTTTCATGGAAAGACTTCTTAATGTTTGTTAATTCACAACCTGGTAGTGTCTTGGCAGGTTAAGAGCTCTAGGCCTCCACAAAATGCAAGCCAATAGAGCACACGAAATTAGAATAGACTAGAATAGATCTGGAAGAGACCTTGGAGGTTTTCTAGTCCAGTCTCCCGCTCAAGCTCAATTAGTTGACACTTCACTATATTCTTTATGTACATGAAGTTATAGACCAGTCAATTATGGTAAAACTATGAATATCAGCATAGATGTCAAAATGGTAAAGATAATCTCAAAGCTTTAGATTTTCATTAAAAAAAAAAGATTGGCGGTCTGTAAAGTCACAGTATGTCTTCAGTGTGGATATGTCGCAACAAAAAGAGCAAAGAGGAAGGAATGTTGACCAAATGAAATTTGTGTTCCATCTGCAGAACTAGGGGTAAAGATGGATCCATGTTTTTAAAAAGTGGAAGATTATTATTATAGCATACACACATATATTTCACAGTTAAATATAAAGATTTTTAAACTACAGACTATGAAAAACTAGCTAAGTATGGGAAACCAAGTGCTACCGGCAACTCTCACCCCAAAAGACTGCTGGAAGAAATCTGAAGTGTGCACCACGTACCCTCTGGGATCTGGCCATGATTCTCAAATTGATCCAATTCTATTATTTTAGGATCATGGCAACCTTTGTTACGGCGGATCTGACACACCAGGTTTGCCTTCCATGTGGGACTCAAGGAAGAGAAAAAGACCTTATATTCATTGTCCGTGAGTGGGCTGCCTGGCTTTGAGGACAAGGAACTTGGGATTGCTGGAGTCAAAAAGATTGGGAATCCTGAAGGAAAAACAGCCAAAAAAGGAAATATATTAATCAGACAAACAGGATAGAGCAATGCTACATCAAATTTACTAATATCAATAAATTCTTTTAAAAATATTGGCGACTTCCAATTATTTTAGCAAAACTGATGAGCAGAAAATAAACTGGTCTATTGATAAATTTTTAATAGTATTAACAAGATTAGATTTCTAGTAAGAAAAATAATCCTCCTTCTCCCTCCAAACTATACTGCTGAAATGAAAGTTTGGAGGTTGAAATGGATTTATGACTTTGAATTTAGATAAATTCTGACACTCAAAGGCAAATTACCAGTCTAAGAAACGTTTAGTTTTGGGTTTATATATGCATCAGGCTCTGATGAATTGGAATTCTGGTGAGAAGCAAAACTTCCTAGGAGCCTGAAATTTCCTTTAGAAATGATCTTTCTCAATTCTAAAAGGCCTTGTAGAGTAGAAAAGTTTAAGAGTGGGACCATATAAGTCCTCTTCTATGCCATTTTTCCTGAAGAAAATGGGGTGTATTCTGAATAAACATGCAGAGTATCATTGTGAATTCACAAGCTACAGTACTTGAATATCCAAAACAAACTAAATCTGGTATTTCTTTATGCAAATTGAATAGCATCAGTTTAAGATTTCCTTGAAATAAAGAGCTATCAGCTTTCCTAAGATATATTCCTTTCTTCTTTTCAAGGCTTTTCTAGATTTAAATATAAGAAGGTGGTCTATTGTTCAAATATAGATGTAAAATGTTTGGATATTTTGAAGTCATTTAGAAGAGTTTCTTCAGTTTGTTTAATGAGCATGCATTCTGATTTGATTCACCGAAATAGAATAGGCATAAATTCAGTTAAATGTGCAAAAGCAAAGGGGGGAATCTTTTCCTAATATGTGCATACAAGCCTTTAAGAGATAAAAGGAAGCATTGCCAGTTCGGATTTTATCTGCCCACCCTGCATTCTTCCCAGCTTTATCAGATGGCAATCTTTAATCCAGGTAAGCAGACAAAGCCATTCTCCATAGTGTCCTGACTGAAAAAACTGTCATTTCAAAACAGAAAAAAACCCAACATTGTCAAAGCTGATTTTGTTTTTAACCAAAATGTGAAAGTTCAGCTTCCGAGCTTTTGGAGCATCTTTGCTGCATTAAGGACTTCAAATTTCTAGGCTTTGTGATGGTCCAATATATAAGAAATGGATCAGTACCCCATATTGGAGATTTCTAAAGGAACCTCCCAAGGGTCTCCAGGACTTTTGTTTGATTCCAAATTGGCAAGAACTGTTGGATAGAGACCACGGGATAAAATATAGAGAAGACCAGCAGGTACAGTGGCAGCCATGGATTAAGCCAAGTTTGATAAAAAAGCAGTAGTTTGGACAGTTTTTCATCATTAAGTCAGCCACTCACCCACCAGAAAGGCCCATGATGAGGTCCTGAACCTCAGGACTGGCATTTTGCTTCTTTCATGTTAAACGTCTCCACTTCTCACCAATACACCCCTTTTCAAAGGCCAACAAGACCAGACACTTTTAGAATGAGAACACAATGACCTCACAGTTGAAGCTATTGCAGGAGAAACAAGAATCTTCTAGACAGGTTAAAAATGCTGGTAGGAAATGGACCCTTATGAATATAGGGAGTGAACAGCAGTCACTATAATGTAAAGCAAGAGTTTTCTGTGTTCTTGGTTTTTGGTTGCTGTTAAAAATCAGAATAGAGTAGGCAGGTAGATAGTAGATACAGCCTATTGAAAACTTTATTGTGAAATGAATGGGAATTCCACAAGATACACTCTTGATTCATTTGAGAGAAACTTGTCTATTTTGCCTCATGTTAATGCGAAGGATGCAATGCAATATTGATTTATTAGGTATTAAGTGTTCTCAAATCAGCAGAATGAGAAAATTGAAGGCATAAAGCTCCCAAGGAATGTAGAAAACAGTCACAATGTTTAAGACAATAGACAGAATCCTGGTGAGTTTCATACTTTGCTACAAGATAGTTCAGTTCTGCAAGACTTGTCTTTTATTAGATCTTCTATGTTTACCTTTGGAAGGCACCTGGCTAGAAATGGGAGACTGCAAGTTCTAGTCGAAGTGACCTTATGCCTATCATTCTCTCAAAAGTAAGGAGAAGCCGCTTCCAAAATTTTGCCAAGAAAACTGCAGGAACCTGTCCCAGGCAGTTGTCAGGAATCAAGACTGTTTTAAAGGCATTTCCCCACCTCAAAAGGTATGCATTTAGGTAGGAAACAGACCCTTATACAGTGATAGACCCCACAATTAAACAGCCATCAGTCCAGCACAGAGTGATAAGCAGAGAATTTATGTATTGATTTAATGGATTTATAGGGTTGCTGAACTCAAATACTGTGACTGCAAAGCAGTGCTGGATCTATTAATATGCAAGGAAAGTATTATATAAAACCATATAATCGGGTACAGTCAGCATTTGTAGCAGGCTAGGACCAGGGTTCTTTCATTTTAGATTCATCTAGTGCCCAGCTTCTCTTTTAGATACCCACACAAAAATATTCTCCCACAATGCCTCTAGGAACTTTTTCTAATTTAACTTCCGCTGTTTTACTTACTGTTTTATTGTATTTTTTAGTAAAAGTTGTACACCAACAATATTGAGTTTCTTAAAATAAATGATGAAAGGTAGATATCTGACTCATTGTACGGATGGAGACAAAATGTATAATTCATGCAGGCAGTTCTTTCAAGTATAAAAACCATTTAGCTCAATCTTATTAAATAAATACCCTTCTTATTCATCCAACTTACTACTTACTTTTTCCCTTTCACTAATTGCTCCTGCTTTTATTCTAGCACCCTTTCCATGTTGGGAGAAACAATTTAATATCCTGAAGTGCTTAAATGCAAACTGACATTTTGAAGCAGAAAATTATCAGCTAATAATTAAACCAATCACACCACCCTCCACTCAAAAGTGAAAATCACTCATGACATGTGTTGAATTGGTTTTATTTAATACATATTTTACAATATGGGGTTTCCCCCTAAAACAAGCACCACCAAGAAAAGACTGGAGCCTGGTTGGCTTCCATTACAAAATCCATGAAATATTTTGGACAGGGAATTTCCCCCCCCCACTTTTTAATAGTTTCCTATAAAGAAAAATGGGTCACTTTTCAGTTGCCTCTGTATGGCTCCCTCCGTTTGAAAAATGGAATGCTGTAGTAGTGGAGAAGGAAGGGAGAATAAGAAGCCTGTCTTCTTAAAATACATACTGCATGAAGGGTTGACTTGGTGGCCCCTCCTCTGGAACATCAATTAGGAAGTCTGGAAGGAAAACTGCAGTTTCTTCAATCAGATATTCCCCTACCAAGAAATCGTTGTTCCTTTAAGCTGATGCAGGTTTTAAAACCTAGGCAGGGAAAAGGGCTGTAAGCCAACGACTGACTTCATCTCCTTCTCAAGGACAAGCAGCGAGTGTTTCAGTACACACAGGAACCATCAAATGGATACAAACCATTCACAAGTAGCTCTGCTCACCCAGAGTGGGGACCCCTACCTAACGAAGCCCCAGGGACTGGGAGAAGAGTGCTGAACCCCAACTGCAGAGCTGGGTGTTTCGGAAACAGTATCTGGACCTTGGAAGATGATAAAATTTATTTTTTCTTCCTCTCCTGGGAACAGCGAGGACAGAACCTGTATCAAGGAGAAAAGGCAAAGCAATAATTCGGGGATCAACACTATCAAAGAAAAAAAAAGGATACACAGAATTGATTTAAGCAGCTGATAATTCTGCAAGCAAAAAAATAATAATCTAATATTTTAAAGTATTATTTTCACAGTACCGTTCTCAAATATTTTGTAACCAGTGTATGTATAATGGTCATACCATAAACCATATAGAATTCAAATTCTGAATAATACAGTTGATATTTTTTCAACATGTGGTCTTGCAGGATTGGGTTCCAAATGCTCCATGGAGAAGATTCATTTCATTTACAAATGAAACTGGATGCTGAAATTGTGCCCTTGATACGTCAAATTGAATTTCTCCCATGATCTGAGCTTTTCCAAGAGATCTTTGTCTTGCTGGAAGGTGCCCAAACAATTTTTCATTCTTTTATAGGGCAAGATCCTTAGGAATCTGAAAAATCACTAATGGGGCTAGTAGGAGAAATCTGGGGATTAACCCTGTATGAGTTCTAAAGCCCTGACAATAATAATGCATCGCCAAATGGAGAGATCATAATTAATATTTTAATTATGTTTAAAAGCCAGTAGTTTTTAATGCAATGTTACTGGCTTCCTGGTTTATTTCCATATCCATGGGAATGGAAAAGCAAACATACATAATCATTATTAAATGACACAACACTATTAAGCTCCTATAAGTAGCTAACAGACTTTGATGTAGGAATAAACATATGAACGAATAGGGGTAATTCTCCTGGTTGACTACCCAACTGATTCTTTGAGAACATCCTCCTCTACCAGGGACCAACATGTGATATCTCAACATTTCAGAAGACCTACAAAGAAGACCAGGGATTAGAGAGAACGGATACTTACCATTTCCCTCTTGGCTTTGTTGTCAAGCCCACACAAGCAAAATGGAACCATTCAATGGAGCACTAGTAAAGGATACAAATCACACAGAGATGAATCAGTATTCTTCTGGCAACTGGCCATGATCTAATTCCATTTCCAATGAAAACAGAACATGATTCTAATGCAAAACCTCTTTCCTGACTACCTATGTACATTTTTGATACACTATTATAAGAGGATGGAATAAAGTGGCCCACAGCTATTTAGCCAGTGGTAAAAAAAAATATTTTAGCTATTTAATTTGTATCCTGCCTTTATTATTTTTACAAATAACTCAAGGTAGCAGACATATCCAACTCGCCTTCTTCCTCCTATTTTCCCCACAACAATCACCCTGTGAGGTGAATTGGGCTGAGAGAGAGTGACTGGCCCAAAGTTATCCATTTGGCTTTCATGGCTAAGGCCAGACTTGAACTCAAGATCTCCCACTTGCCGGCCTGGTCCTTAACCACTAGAACAAACTAGCTCTCTATGTGAAGACATGGGGCAGACTCAACAAATGCTTCAGACTATTGCAGTTTGGTAGGAAAATTTAGGGCATGGATGAATGACTGAGTGCCCAGGATAGCATCTGGTCCTTGAAGCATTTTTCTGAGCACCACTGACCATAAGTGCCAAAAACTGACAGCATAGTTTCTGTAGTTTAGATTGCACAAATGTAAAATTAGACTTGCACAAATGTAAAATTAGACTAAGTCCTAAAATATGCTTAATACTTTTCTAAAAAATCTGAATGCCTTCCGTAATCTGGTCAGTCAATCAGTAAGTCAAGTGTTCTTTACAATCAAAGACCAAAATAATTAAAAATACTCAAGGAGTTAGTTATCTTCTGCAATCCATAAAACAGAAAACAGTATGCTCTCCATTGCATTTATGATATAGTCCTGCCTCCTTTGCAATATTGCCCATGCAATAGTTCTCTCCCTCAACCATCAAAGGCATGCCCAGCATCCTCTATCCCTAATCTAAAAGAAAGGTTTATAAACTATTGGCTCACGTATGCATAACTGTTTCCCTAGGTGCTGCCTCCATCTATAGCTTCTTTTATGAGAGGAGTCAGGAGCTGAAGTACTGATAGAACAGCTACTGAAATATATACAGATATTTGGATGTAGTGAAATACATTCCAGGGATACTTTTAATGGCTTCAGATAGAATGAATTCAAGTGGAAGTATTTCTTAAAATAGTGCATTTGTCCAAGACAGAACAGCAGAAAAGTAACATTTTGGAGGTGCAAAAAGCTCAGGCTTGGCAAGGAAACAGACCCTCTTCCTAAACACAGCAATAGCGCATAATAATACTCCTAATCCAAGGGTTTCCCTAGCTCTTAACTTTTAAAAACAAATACATCTGGAAAACAAGTACAAGACTAATTTAAGAAGTTAAGAATTTATTAATTTAAGTATGCAAAGGTGTCACCCTGCCAACTTGTTAAGATCCTAATAAAAAGTTGATTTTATAAATAAGTAATAAGGCTATTTATGTCTTATCCGTTTAGCTCCCCTCATTTTCCACCCTCTATTAGCATGACTCTCTCTTACATCAGGGTTGTCACAACCAATCATCTCCCCATAGGAGACCTGGTGGCAGAGGCAATAGGTGGGCTCATTGGGATCCACAGGCATATCCAACACATCAGAAGGGTGGACATTTCCAAAGGTCACTGAAGGCATCCCATATTCTGTGCTGCTTTAAACGGAAAAAGTTGAGTTAGCAAAAGTTTTTTTTAATGTCCCAAAGAGAATTCCCTCCAATCTATATGAAATAAACCACTTATTATAATAAATGATTGGTCTCAGATTTAGCACCTGAGAGTGCTAACGACCAGATGACTGCAAAGAATATAAATCCTTCCATTCCCCGCCAATCAGAACTGAAGACGTTTCTAGTATGAGAAGTGAAACGTCTTCAAAAAAAAACCCCAAGAAAGTCCAGTAGCCTTTTGGAAAAAGCACCTTTGGGACACCTTTTACAACTTGCCTCGCAGGAACTTTATCTTCTCAAATTTAGGGAAAGCACGAGCAGAACAATTGTGCTGGAAATGGAGTAGACTGATCTAGGGAAGATCAAGCAACACCTACTAGTACACAAACTAGTGGCCTAAGTCTGCTGCTTCTTCCCACCCACTCACGTGCGGACTAATTTCAGCTTCTTCTGGGCTGTTTTTGGTGCTTCTTCATCAGAGTTTTTTCCCTTGGAGCGAGCACGGGCAGCTTTCTTTTCTTTTTGGGCACGGCCTTCTGTATGGATAATATAAAAAGAAAAGCACAAGTAAAATACCTTTGTATAGACCGAAAAGTTGCAGCTAATCAACCAATTAATTGTACCATACACAACTTCCAGTATTCCACCTTTGCTTATGTTCTACCTCTGATCCAGTTCCATGATGATTAGATTCATTCAAGAGTTTGGACGATGATTGTGTCAAAAAATTTTCTTTTCAAAGTCCGTAATGTCAACTACTCTCTATTTTTGACATTCTTATATTATTCTTTATTTCTCTTTGTAAAGTCATGTTGATTTTTTTTATTCATAAAGCATGTTTTACTGCTCATTTGTTACAAACTCTAGTATTTTGTAATATTTTCTAATTTGTCTGTGAGAAGATCTAATAAATACCTTGTTCTCCCACATTCCACTCCCTTAAGCTCTGAATCTTAAAATTGCTTACCAACCTTCTAATAAGAAATTTACATTTATATTAAAAATAAATTTTAATAGGTATATTCCATCAAGATGTTGAAATTTTAATTTGTAAACTAGCCCTGATCTATTGTTATTAACTACATATACCCAACTGCTGCCCAAGACCTTCAAAAACAATGTAAGGCATGTATTTCCAACACAGCATCTTTCTCAGTTAAAATACGCTTGCAGGATGGAGGTATTAGGAAAAATAGAAATTGTAGTACAAAACTTAGGCAACTAATATAAACAGTATAGTTTTGAAATGAGCAATTCATCTTCTACAGTATTTATTTGTTACAGAAAAAATACTATGCTATTTTGGAGACCTCACTTTGCTCGTTTTATTGATTTCATAAATTAAAAGTCTAGTGAAATATATTCATGTTTTCTTGACTCTTTTAACTGCCCAAGTGATTAGTCTTTTCCCTTACAGCCAGTCTGGCATAGTAGTTAAGGAGCTAGCCTAGAAACCAGGAGACCATGAGGAAGATGGGCAGTTGAGAAATGTGAAAAATAAATAAGTGGCAGAATATCAATCTAATAAAAATAGAGCTACTTACTGTCCATATTCTTTGTCTGCATATTTCCATAAATTATTTTATGGCTTTCCACTTCAATTATACACAAATACAACTTTTGGTATACAATACACAGAAAAAGGGGCTTGTTTATTATGCTAATCTAGTCTCTAAAACTGCATTCCAAAATTAATTCATTACTGGGTAAACCCCAAATAATTCAAAATAATGTGTTTCCAACAAAATATTTTGTCTAATACAAAGAACTAAACAACAGATGCAACTTAGAATTTAAGAAATCAAATAGCTATACATTTCAATGCATTTTTCTCTTATGCCTATTAATTTCAAGTGGCTTTCAAAGTCAAATTTATTGCCTTTGCCTCATTTCTGTAATAAGCTAACAACTCTTATAAGTAAAGGTTAACTCCTTGTAACTGCATTCATGCAGTTTTCTTGACAGCATTAAGGATGTGGTCTGTTACTGCCTTCTCCTAAGATGTTTTCCAACAATCCAGTCTAAGTAACATTTCTGGAACTTTCAGTGGTCCACATCCAAGTAGTAGCCAGGTTCAACCCCGCCTATTTGAGCCACTTTTGTATACTGCCTATTCTTGTTAACTCTAGACAGCTTGCAATATATAAAATTACAGCATGCATAAAATCTCAATATAAAAGCAACTAATAAATAAAACAATAATATACTGTTCATAAGAGCTATTGCTATCCTTAAAAAGAATTTCAAGCCTGAATGCCCTCTGAAAGAGAACTATCTTAACCACTTTGCTAAAAGCCATAAGGGGAGGGGCACATCTGACCTCCAGGGGCATGCTGTTCCAGAGGGAGGGGCTGCTCCTGAGAATGTGCTTCTCTGAGTCCCTGATCTCTTTCGGGGTGGGCACCTGAAGCATTCTCTCCCTGCTAGACTGCGTAGGGTGGACAGATTCTACCTGGAAAAGACAGTCCCAACAGTAATGAGAGGCCAAGCCATATAGGATTTTGTAGGTAATCACCAGCACCTTAAATTGGCTCAGAAGCCAAATGGCAACCAAAGCAACATGTGGTTTATTCTGCTGAATCAACTAACACCAGTGAGCAAGCGGGTGACCACATTATGTATGAGCTAAAACTTCAAAGTCATCTAGGGTAGTCCCATATAAAGTGAATTGCTGTAGTCTGACTGAGAGATGACTTACTGTCTTCTGCATCTCCTGATCCAGGAAAGAGTGTCATTAGCACATCTGCCAAAGCTGGAAGAAAGGTCTCCTGCCATAGCTTTCAGCTACCATTCCAGTAGGAATCATTTATCTTCCAAGATCAGGACTATTACCCTATTTCAATCTTATTTTCATAGTGATACCTAAATATTTTCTCAAAATAAGTTCATATTTAAACCAACAGTATTGCTTAAGGGTATAGCTACTAAATGCCAGACTGACACCAAGGAGACTCGTGTTCAAGTCCACCCTTAGCCATGGAAGCTCACTGAAAGTTAGCCCTTGGAGACTGGTCCAGGTTAGAAATAGATTGTAATCTAAATGAAACTGCACTTTATTGCAAAAACTATAGGAAATTGAAAACTTGCAATGTTTTCCCTTTCTCCCTCTTGTACCAAAGAGAAGAATTTGGTAGTACTTTTTCTGAGTAACAAATTTTATTAACAAAAACAAGCTTTCATAAGCTGCAGCTTACTTTATCAGGTGGAGTCAGGCAAAATTTCTAATATTCTCCTTAATTTTTTAGAGTATTTTTCTCCTAAATATTCAAATCCAAATGTGATAGGTACTTAATTTCTCATAACTCTCCCCATATTCCCCCCCCCCATCTCTGCAGAACTCACTCTTTTTGCCTTTGCTAGATGAGCTGTCATAATCACTTGATTCAATCTGTTTCTCTTTCAGGTCAGCTTCAAACCGGGCAAGATCTGTATCCAACCTTCGGATGTGTTTATCTACCTGCAGATATAATAGGAGTATATTATTTGAGATGAGAGTCAATTCATCAGCATGATGGAGATTCTACTAACAGAAGAAAGAAGAAGCTGGTTACACTAATAACTGAAAATGAATAATAAATGAAATCCAATGAATGAATGAAATTTCATGAATTTATGAAAAAAAATAACTACATTTTATAACACTGTTTTCTTGCTGTATCTCATACCATTTCATACGTCTGCATAGCCAATTGTACTTTGTCATCACCAAATTCCTTGCACTTTCCATAGGCCTCCTGTATTTGTTTGAGAAGACCCACTTTTTCTTCTGAAGATAGAGTCCGTGCATTGCTGATATATTCTGTGGCCAGTTTATCAATCTCTGATTTAAGATCTAGAAGAAAAGAAGCAGAAAGCAGTCTGATGAAGACTACCATAAATTCCAGAGTAACAGAAATGGACATTAAAATTAACATGCTCTTTTAAAAAGTGTGACACACAATTCAAATTGCTGTCTTCCACTAATCCCGACTCACCTTCTGTTCGTTGGTCTAGATCTCGCATAAGCTGAAAGTTTCTCTGCAGTTCAAAAGGCAAATTCTCAATGCCTAAAGAGGAACCCAGAGACAGGAAAGATGATCAGCCAAGGGGGAAACAATATGCTATTTTCTTTACACATCAACACCCATACTATTGAACACTCATATGTTAGCAAATAAATTGCCAAATACTTAATTTTATATTCAAATATAGCATTAGAAAATACAGGAATGGTTATCTGCATCTTAAATGACATGAAACACTAAATTTCTCACTAAGCATAATCGTCTACAAAGAGTTCCAGCCAATCCTAGACGTGACTAGTATGCATTTGCTTGTATGTATATAAACACTGCCTCAATTAGGTTTTCTGCCAATCATCATAGAGGGATTAGTGTCTGCTGAAGCAAAAATACAAAAAAATGTTACAGCAAAGTCTCTTATAGTATTCACTGATGCAGGAACTGTTTTGCAAATGGCCAGCATACTGTCTGCATCTCTTAAAATGTGCTTTCTTCTTCCTTAAAGATTTTAGCTTTCAAAGTACATGTATTTAAGGTACAACAACTATCACTGCTTGGAGTCTACTGGAGTTGGGCAGCTAATAAATTCAAATAAAGTAATAAAGGAACCATAGATTTGTTCTGCACAGGTACATCCGTATAGACTGAGTGTTGCTTTTAAAATGAAGGAGGTATGTAACTCCATCCCTTGGAACCGGATTACACTACAAAGTCTTAAAGTTGAGCCAAACTGAACAAAGAGATTGAATAACTTCCTGCAAATCTTTCGGCTGCTCTTGGAAAGCTCCATTTCAGCATCTAAGCTGGATAGAGACAATATCAAGCGTGTCCCTACTACCCTCTTCCCTCATCATCCCTTTCCCAGCAATAACGCCCCCGACTAAAACGGCGCGACGACCGCGGGTAGATACGAGAGGCGGGAAGTCTCTCCTCAGGGTTTCCAGATCATGCTTCACCCACCAGGCAACCATGATCAGCCGAAGCGCCCTCCCGAACAGGTTCTCCAGTGCTGAACCTAGGAATGGCCCGAACATGCAAAGATGCGTCCCCCTTGGCCTCATGCGCCCACCCAGCGACACGAAATCGAGACGTCTGTCGGCGTTTCGCGGCCTCCCTCCCGGTCGAATCCCACGCCCGGTCTTACTATCCAGGTAGTGCTCCAGGTACATCCCAGCCGCCATTTTGGGTTCCAGCCAACCGCCCAGGCGCTTCTCTTGGCCCCGCCCAACCCCGGCATTATTTCCGCCCTAAGTGAAAGCGACTTCCGTTCTGCATCAGACTCGCTTCCGCCTGTGTACAGGGTGGTGGCCGCTTCTTCATCCTCCTTAACAGAGGCGGTAGCCCTGCCAGTTCGAGTGATGGCAGAGAGGGGAAAAGGTAGTCCTGGCTATCTTTCCTCCCTCCCCCTTTTTTAACCTAAAACAAGTACATGTGCCTTTTTTTTTTTACCTTAAATAGTACCATATACTGCTTGCTCATATTTAAGTGATTGTCCACTAGGATTCCAAGATCCCTCTGATAGCACCTGTAGATTTGGTTTTTCTTGCCTAAGTGTAAAACCTTACTTTTCTCTACACTGAATTTCATTTTGTTAGATAGGGCCAATGTTCAAGTCTGTCAAGATCCATCTGGATCTTGAACCTTCTGTCTTCTGAGATGTTGGCTATTCCTGCCAGTTTAGTGTCATCTCCAAATCTGATGAGTTCCCCTTTTATTCCTTTCCCCAAAGTGCTCTTTTCTGGCTGTTGGTTTTTTCCGGAAAGAAGATGTGTTTCACAGAAGCTCAGAGGTACTTGCTTCAAAGTGCCTCCATTTTTCAAAACAGAAGGAGATTTTGGGAATTTCACCATCCATTTCATCGGATGCATGGAAGGGCAATAGCGACAGCGAATAATGTCTCAGTTAAATTCATATTTATACTCAGCCCTTTAAAATAATCTCTTTGAGGTATTGTACAACTGTGTAATCTAGAAATAGAAATGCAATAAAAAATATTTGACAACAATCACATTGCTAGGATTTTCCCCATAGGGCAACATTTCCTTAAGTAAGAAGAAAAAAATGAAATTAAGTTTGTACATAGTTCAAATATATTTTGATTTATTAAACAAACACAAAAATGTTAAAAAATGAACCAGTGACAAAAGCAAAGGCAACTGAAAAGGAAAATAAAAATTATGGATACGAAAGCAGAAGTGACCTTGAAAAAGTTGTAAGCATGCTTAGACAATATTTCTTTCCAAAATAATAACTATAGAGATAAAGGTAATCCTTTAGCAAAATCATTGGCAACCAGATCTTAAAATTGCAGGATTTTTCAGAGATCCTAATTGCAATGATTTTTCTATTAGAGCAATTAGTCACTTAAGTTTATGTTTCATACATCTGAACAATATATTTTAGATTTCTGCTCCTTGCCATAAAAAAACTAGCTGTTAATACCAATTTTCTTGTATTGCATTGATTTATTTGTTTTAGGAAAAATGGATAAAACCAACATTTCTTGTTTTAAGGCAGGTGTGTCCAACCTATGGCCCGCAGGCTGCATGTGGCTTTGACAACTACAGTGTGGCCCCAGAAGATCATATAAAAAAGGGAGTTTGTCATTTATGTACATTAACTATATTATATATTTCATATGTGGTCCAAGACAATTTCTCTTAATGTGGTCCAGCCAACCAAAATGTTGGATGCACATATTTTAATGTTTTATCTTGTTTTTATGATTATAAGCCACATAGGTGAGATTGATGGCATGTAGGTTTACAAAATAAATAGATAACATATTTCATTATGACAGATTATAGGATAATGTTCACCTGTTGGAAATACAGAAAGCCAAAGGCAGAAAAAGACTCAGTGGTCCATTGAGTCTGCCCTTTTAGTTTTTTGTTTGTTTTTGTTTTCTTTATAAATATTTTTTTATTAATAATTTCATTTTATTTATTTTTTAATTTTTGTCAGATGTTAGAGATGTGTTTATTACAAGCATGTTTAAACTCAGTTACTGACTTCCGGTTTTGCGCGGTAGTGACCGGTCATGGGTGTGCGGATTCTCCGCACCCCCGCGACTAATTTCATCCTGCCTGAGGACCCTAAATGGGTCTAAGTCGCCCCGGAGAGGCGACGAAGAAAGAAGAGTGTTTCAGTGATTCTGGAACGGTGGTGGCCATTCCGTTCAACTTGGGGAAAGCTTTCTAACCCTACAGGAGAAAGGCTGGCCGTATTGCATTGACCAGCCCAAGCTACTAGCAACCGAAGTCCAAAAGCACTAACCAGCACAACTGTGAACAGCGTACTTGAAACTGGATGAGGAATTCAATCTTCTCTTTTCTATTCTATATTTAATTTCCTGGAAAAGATCTCCAGGAAGCAAAATACCTCTGAAAGGGAAGGAGGAGGATTTCCGCCCCACCCTTATACTAACGGAAGCGGCGAGTTAATCTTTTTATGGAGGATCAAAATATATGGAAGTGAAATAAATATAAAACCTGAAATTTAAAACTTAAATCTGGATAAATCTAAAATTGTTTGAATGGTTAAGACTCTCATTTTAAAGATAATTGTTTATTTTGGAAATTGAAAAACAAATAGTTGCTGACACCTAGTGGTGGATGAAGACTATGACAGCTATGACAAAACCTGGAAAAAGCTAATCTGTGTTTGTGACCTTCAAAGTTTTAACAACAAAGAACAGCTGTGACAAAAAAAGACAATAATCTGGGCTGTAGACACAGAATTATAAATTTCAGAAAAAAAAATCTTTTTTGAACTATTTGGATTACAAATATCCACTTAATTGGGATTCTAAAGCTATTTGCAGAAAAAAGAAAGGAAGAGAAAAACTCAAATTCTTGGCCATCATAGATCAGAGACATGTAGAAAGAACATATCAAGAAAACATAAATACTTCACAGGAGGAGATATATAGTATACCCAGGGCTTTTTTTCTCATAGAATGCCCAGAACGGAGTTCCGGCACCTTTTTTGGATGGAACCTTGTAGGGTAGGCAAGGTGGGTTGTATGACGTGTGAGTTCTGGCACCTTTTTTTTTTTTTTTAGAAAAAAAGCACTGAGTATACTGCAACTAATTCAAACAACAATGACTTTAAACCACAAAGAAATCCAAAATAACTTTGAAAATATAAATCAATCTATTTCTAAGTTAATTCTACAACAAAAAAATTCCTAGAAAACAACAACAGAGAAGGAGCAAATAAAACAGATATATGGATATAGAATTGAAAATAGAGACTTAAAGATGGAACTTAACAAAACAAGGAAACATTTAATCCTAGTGGAAAACAATTCACAAGAATTGGAAGAAACAACTTATCCCTTAAGACTACAAAATAAATCTGAGGTCAAGAAAACAGATTGGATAAAATGGACTTCGTAGAGATGTCAGGAACATCGGAGAGAAAGAAAATGATAAGAGAAGCGGAGAGAAAGAAAAAGAAAACAAAATTCAATAAACGTGGAAAGGCAGAAGTCCCGTACAAAGACACTTCACCTGATTTACTTTTTATATCTACAGCAGTGGTTCTCAACCTTTTTAATGCCGTGACCCCCAACCGGTCGTAAGTCGAGGACTAAACCGGTCATAAGTCGAGGACTACCCAACCGGTCGTAAGTCGAGGACTTTCCCTGCCCGGGAGCGCCACGCATGCATGGTTCCGCCCCCTGCGCCGGCCGAGGCGTAGCTGGCAAGCGGCAGAGACGAAGCAGGCCGACCACCAGCTGGCCCAGCCCAAGGGAGGTAAGGCACCCGCCGGAAAAGGGAAAAAAAATGGCGGACAGCCTTGCTTGGCGACCCCCGTGAAATGGTCGATCGATCCCAAATGGGGTCGCGACCCATAGGTTGAGAACCGCTGATCTACAGCAACATTTACAAACATATGGAAAAACATTTTGATTCAGCAAAATACATTGATTAAGAAAGATACTGGGCAAAGGAAAAAGACTAAAGTGGAAACCAAGAAAATAGATGATGGGACTTACCAGAGAGAATACTTAAAAAAAAAACATTTGTTTGAATATGGTTAAAGAAATAGAAACATTTTGGAATATATATGTCATTTTAAGAGGGATGAATTCCCTAAATAATATAGTATGTTTTTTCCCCTTTTTTGTTCTTTTTCTTGATATGAGTAATATTAAAAAGTTTAAATGACTTAGATAAAGGAAATGTTAAATGTGATTAAATTTAAGAAAATTATAATGTATAAAAAATGTTTTGAATAAGAGTTAAAGGACTAGATGACTAGATGTATTAAATGGAATGTTTAAAGATTAAACATATTTTTAATTATGGTTAAAAAGAATAAGAATTTTAGGAAATAAATATATATTAGCTTAGGAGGGATATATATTTTAAGTAGTATGTTATTTTTAAGTTTCTTTACTCTTGCTCTCCTTTTTTCCCATTGTTTTATTGATTCCTTAAGAAATGTAAAAGTGTGAGATGCTTCATATGGAAAAATAGAATTAAATTCTTAAATGTAATTAATTTGTGAGAAAATCTTAACCAGTAAGAATACCCTAGAATTTGGTGGGAGAAGCAAATTAAAATAAGGACTGAAACAGGATTTATGATAAGGCAACCAGAATGATTGAATAGAAAAGAAATATTATATTGATGTGATTATTATTTTTAGGACTATTGGGAAAAATTATATATTTAATTGTTATCTATAAAAACAATACGAATTGTATTAACTCAATGTTTGCAAAAGAGGATATTTTGGGAAAAGAGGAAATCAACTAAAACAATTATGTGATTATGGATTATCGAAATCAGTTGTTAATGATTGTTTTACAAATGTAATCCAGACAACACACTCTTCATCAATTATTAAGTGATATTATGTTCAAAAAAATCAATAAAATATATTACAAAAAAATAAATTCAGTTACTGATGATTGACCTATTATTTCTGCTGGAAGCTTCCACTACTCTTTTTTTTTTAAATCATCCAAAAGGTCTAAATGGATTTTGCTGTCAAAATTGATATCTATAACTTTAGAATCTTGTCAAACCTGTCTAGAAATGTTATGGTTTATATGTGGAGTAGAGTGCCACCTGCTGATTAATTTCAGAAGCAAGACTCAGTGAAATAAATTTAAAAATCATTTTAAACAACAGAGTACCGCACTGAGAATTTCTGAATTCATATTCCAAGTAACTTGTATAGGACTTTCAAAAGAATCTGTTGTGCT